GGCCCTGTGCCCAGGTCATCCCTGGGGTCTTTCTTGCCTATAGGAACAGCTGCCTCTCAAGCCAGCACCGAGTGCTGTAGCGTCTCAGGCTCTCCCCAGACTCCTGTCACCCCAGGGTCCTGGCTGGACATCCCTGCTGGGTCACTTGGCTCAGTGTGCAGCCCCCTGGGGACCCTGTTCCTGCTTGTGTGAGCCTGTGACCTCAGCCTGCCCCAGGCAAGTTCTGCACTACTTGAGTGCCTGTGACCCCACTTCCTGTGTGCTGGAGACACACCTGCCACAGACATGCATGACTCACGCGTGAAACCTCAGGGCAACGGCATAAGTGCAGGTGTCACAGCAAGGGCAGAGCAGGTCCCATGAGTGTGGCAGGTTTACAGGAAAGCCGGGGACACTCAGCCCGAGAGCAATGGTTCTCCTCAAAAGAAAGATGGTGGAAACCTTACTTTTAAAGAGAGTCGTTCCATGCACTGTTTGCATAACAGAGATCTCTCTCGCCCTTGCTTGAATTTTTAAATAATCTTTTGGATCAGAAGATGCATGCCTTTCAGATAATAGAAAATTATCTGTGTGCTGTCTCAGACCAAAAGAAAAAGAAAAACCAGAGCAAATAAAGATCTAAACAGAAAAATACAAACTCCAAAATTCTTAGGTGAAAACGTCTTTAGAAAATCAAAGAAGGCCTTCCTAAGCAAATAGGAAGTTTAGGAGCCACAAAGGAAAAAGATAGTATTTGATGGCGTAAAAATTTATGTCACCTATAAAGAAACTCACAGCAAAGTGTAAAGAAATGGCAGACTGGGAGAAAAAAATTTGCAGCCTGTGTAACAAAGATTTGCAGCCATAATATGTAAAGATTTCTTATAAATACATAAGAAATAAATGAGAAAACTACAAATAAACCAATATGAACTAATATGATTGTGAAAAAAAGAAATCAAATTATCATAACCATAGGGAAAGATCTAAAATTAATAGTCATTGGAGAAATACAAATTTAAACAAGCTGCATGTTTTTGCCCATCAGGTTGGAACAAATTATAAAAGGGCTGTTCCCAGTGTACCAAGGGTGCGGGGGATGCGCCCTCCGGTTCCCAGTGTACCTGGGGTGCGGGGGACGTGCCCTCTTGCTGACAGCAGCCCGAACTTGCACGGGCTCTTTATAAGGCAGGTTCTCAGTAACCATCAAGATTAAAAATGATTATGCCAGCTGGGCGCGGTGGCTCACGCCTGCAATCCTAGCACTCTGGGAGGCCAAGGTGGGTGGATCGTTTGAGCTCAGGAGTTCGAGACCAGCCTGAGCAAGAGCAAGGCCTGTCTCTACAAAAAAAGAAAAAGAAAGAAAAATTAGCTGGACACAGTGACACACACCTAGTCCCAGCTACCCGGGAGTCTGAGGCAGTGAGGTCACGTGAGCCCCGGAGTTTGAGGCTGCTGTGAGCTATGATCGCGATGCTGTACTCCAGCCTGGGTGACAGAGCAAGACCCTGTCTCAGAAAAAAAAAGAAAAACAAAAAAGAAAACCACCTAAATAGCCACCAGCTGGAGAAGGTACGTTCCAGAATACCGTGCTCTGGAACAAGTCACGCTGTAGAGAGCCGGGTCGGTGTTCTTGTTTAAAGACGTCTCTGAGGTAGTAAGTGAAAAAAAACATAACAGTATATTTGTACAGTGATCTCACTAATTAAAAAGAAGAAAGCCCTTGTTCAGTAGGCAGACGCACGCACCGACACGCACAACGTGGTAGCTGTGCTTTCCCCAGGGTGGCGTCAGGCTGGGTGGGGTCGAGACGCTTGGGCTAGAAAGGGAAACTTTGCATTCTGTCTCCTTCTATATTGTTTAAGTTTTCAAGAAGTTTTCATTATTTTTATAATGAAAATACTTTTGAAATGAAACACAAATATAAAAAAAATGCCCGTAGACTTACGAAAATATAATTTGATTTGCTTTGCTACAAATGCTCATCTGCATGGCTTTCCACATTCAGGCAGAGATGACCCGGAAAGCCGTCCACGGGAAAAACCGGTTCCTGAGAGGGCTCTGCAGGGTCCTTCACTGTCACCGTCACTTTCCTCTCGTTCCACGTCCATAAAGCGATGAAGTTTCATTAAGAAAACGTTCGTGCATCCCAAGGCATGCTTTAACCTGAAGGGCAGTTTGTGAACACTCTGCTATTTATCCACAAAATAAAAATGAGGTTGGTAAAAGAAGGCATTATTTGGGGCTCAGTCTTCAGCATACGTTCACAGCCTTTGACCTAAGAAGATCGAGCTCCCTGCTTCCTGTCACACTCCTCCCGGGGCGATGGCCCTTGGGCGGGTGGCCGGTTTCCTGCACAGGCCTCAGGGCTCCTTGTAGGTGCACTCTGGGTGTTCTGCAGACACTGAGGGCCTCGTCCTGTTGGCAGTGGCTGTGGCTGTCCCCGCAGAGAGCGCACCTGTGCAGGTGGGCTATCGCCTGGGCCCACAAGTCCCAGAACCCACCCCCAGACCTGGGCGTGCTCCCAAGTCGTTCATTGATTCGCATCTTACTGATGGAGCCGCCTACTGCCTCTCCTGTCAGAAGGGACAAAGGGGAGGCTCCGGACACGCCGCCAGGGAGATGTCGCATGGTGCGTGGGTGTGGGGTCCTGAGAGATGCAAGATCAAGGCCAGGGTGTCCCAGACACGGGATGGTCACTTGTAGGGGTAGAGGGTCAAAGACAGTGTCCTGGGATAGACCACACTTCCCAAGGTCCATGAGCACAAACACAGGCACGTTGGTATCCGTACCCAAAGCAAAGGTCCCCAGCCCCTGCTTGCGGGCCAGGAGCAAGTTCAGTCTTCCCAGGAGGCCTCGCCATGAAACCTGTTGATAAGCCCTGGGGAGGCTTTTGTGGGGACATAAATTTGGTGGCTCCCCTGGAGGCTTCCTTCCCATAGGAAATGGACCCTCAAGCCCCTTCCTTGCTGAGCCGGGGCAGCCCCAGGAGGTGGGCCTCGGGTGGCCAGGGTGGCAGCAGCGCTCGTGGGGGTGGGGTGCTGGGAGCCCAGCGAGGTCCTTGCTGACTGTGGCTCTGGCGCTGCTCGGGGCACGGCCTCCTCCAGTGCCCACGTCCACTGGATGGGTGATATGCCCGGGCCTTCCACTGCCAGCCAGGGGCGTGGAGGCAGACATGCCCGCTCTCCCCGCATGGCTCCGCGGCTCACCACGACCAGCAGCTCTCCGTTCTCCAAGGCGCCCCAGGGCCAGCCCCTCTCCCATAGGCCCAGTGCTGGGCCAGCCCAGCCCAGTCCCACGGGTGTGCTTGGATATCTGTGTCCCTAGGGGGTGTGGGGTCTGAGGGGAGGACCCTCCATCCATGCTCACCCAGCCCTGCCGGTGCCGGCGTATGGCGGCAGGTGCACACAGCTGTAGCTACTGGGGAAGGGGCCGCTCGGGCCCTGCCTGCGTCGCCCCAGGTGTGAGTGGATGCGCAGAGACGCACCTCCCCAGCGGCTGGGGCCTGCGCGCGTGCGCACACGTGTGCACGTATGTGTATGTATGTACGTGTGTGTGCTGTGAGTTCAAGGCAGTGCAGCAGCTGACAGGGTTCTCCCCTCTTTCTCTTGCCCTGCTTCACATCCCACACCCCTCACCTCCCGCCAAAGCTGGGCACCGTCTTCCTCTCAGAGAGAGGGCGCGAGAGAGCCCTCAACTCTACGCCCGCGTGCACGGCGCCTCCTTTCAGTCGGGGCTCGCGAGTGAGACAGGTGGGCTTCCCTCAGCAGAGCCACGAGCCAGAGAGCAGGAAATCTGGGGCCAGGGCGCCCTGGAGCGCTGAACCTGCCTCCCCCCAAACCTGCCTCCAACAGCCGGCCCCACGTGCTGTGGCTCTCGGGTCACGCTGTGAAGCACGTGTCAGTGGCATTTAGGGAATCTTTTGTAATGGTGGCGTCAGAAACCCAGACCTGACCCGGCCACTCACAAAACGTCATGCCTGCAGGGTTGGAAACAGCGCAGGTGTGTTTTCTAGCTCGCCTGCAAAGGCACAGCCCTGGAGGGAAGGGAGCTGGCACTGTCTTTGTACGATGTTGATTTTCCCTGCAGGGTACTGCTGCCTAGGTTGATGCGCTTTGAGAAACTCGACTCAGCCATAAAGATCGATTTCGCTTTTCTAGAGAGGTTACACTGGGAGAAATAGCTTCAGTTTTGAGAGACCTTCTCAGCTCCCCTGTGGTGGGGGAGCGGAGATATCGTCTGGCAGGAGGGGGTTTTAGGTGACAGGAGCCCTGGGCTTTCCATACTCAAGAGAAGGTGACACCCAAGCCTGCGCGCCACAAGGGGCGGCCCACAGTGAGCCACCTGCCCGTGGCCGGCATGCGTGGGAACTGGGGACAGTTACGGCAGCACCTCTAGAGGTCTGTGGGGCCAACAGAACACGTTTTCTTAAGGCCCCTTCATTATACAATTGCAAAGACAAGGTTTGTGCAGTGCACTAGGCCGAGCACCAGAGTTCTGCAGGCCTCCATTCCTTCAAGATGTTCTTAGAATGTCAAAGTCTGGCCGGACACAGGGGCTCGCGGCTGTAATCCCAGCACTTTCGGAGGCCGAGGCAGGAGGATCGCTTGGGACCAGGAGTTCAAGACCAGTCTGAGCAACATAGCGAGACTCATCAGTACCAAAAAACTAAAAAACAAAACAAAAACCCAATGTCAAAGTCTGCCAGGGGCCTCGGGCAGCACCTGGGTCTAGTGGTGTCAGGTGTGAGTGGAAGCACACGCTTTAAGATCCCACAGCACTGGGTCTGACCCCCAGCCCAGCCACATGTGGCCTTGGGCTGTGCCTCGATATCTTCCCGTCCACGGTGGGGTGGCCATTTCCATTGCATGGAGTCCCTTGAGGACCAGATGTGGGCAGGAGGCCTTCGCAGCCTGCTGTCTGTAGCGATGGCGGCGGCTCGAGCCGCTGGGAGCCGGGGGACTGGGTGCGGGCCCGAGGGGCAGGCGTCTGACTGCTCTCCTCTTCCATCGCAGCGGAGCTGGGGTCTGCCCAGATCGTCATCGTCGTCGTGGTGGTCACGGTGATGGTCGTGGTCGTCGTCTGCCTGCTGAACCACTACAGAGTCTCCACGAGGTCCTTCATCCACCGCCCGGGCCAGAGCAGGAGGCAGGAGGACGGGCTGCAGCAGGTGAGTGCGCGGCCACCCCAGCTCCGACGGCCTGGCCGGGCAGCGCGAGGGCCAGAACGCGGGGCGGCCTCCTGGGTCAGTCCCTGTGGTTCAGAGGCTGAAAGGACTTCCTGTTGATGTTCTAATGTACGAGAAAGCACAAACATCAAAAGTGTTCAGCTCAGCAAATCCGCACGAACTGAACAGTCTGTGACCGGCACCTGGTCACAAAAGAGACGTGGCAGCCCCCCCGGAAGTCCACACACAGCCCCACCAGGCCTGCCCTGCCGGGATCTCGCTGCCTGGGTGTGTGTCCGCACAGATTCGCTTTGCAGCCTTCTGAAGTTACACTCATGGTCACTCTGTGGGTGCTCTCTTGTGTTGGGCATCTCTGACCCCGCACTGGATTTGTGACATCCGTCCATGTTGTGAAACAGAGATCCGTTCTTCAGCGTGGTCCTGGAGGTGTTCTGGTGATAAACAGTGCACTCACGCGTCACTAACAGTGGCAGCAGTGAGGGCCTGGCAGCCCCCTGGGGATCGGCAGGCGGGCCGTGCAGGGGTGCTCACAGAGCCGCCAGTGAGGCTCTCAGCTTGGGGTGTTCTTAGGTTTTTAGCTCTTTCTTGCCGAGACGACCTGGTACGCAGCCAAACTGCTGTGCAGTCAGACCTGGGAGATGCGAGGTGCTGGGTGCTCTGTCCCGGGCCTATTGCACCATCTGTGGTCCTGGTGCTTTCAGGGAGGGGTTCAGGAATGGTGAGTTTAGGCGAGTGTGAACCCTGGCGTCGGTGGTGGGCAGAGGCGGCAGAACCCCCACGGTACTCAGCACTAGGGTTTGCTGAGTGGCGAGAGCCACCTTTATGGGGCGCCCCTTTTCAGGTTTGGGGCCACACAATTCTCACTCCTGCCCTGACTTAGGGAGGCTGTCATGGGTGGGGCACAGCATCCCAGCGGGAGTCAGCAGCGGCAGCCAGGCCCCTCTCGGGAGGGCGGGTTGTGCTTGGTGGGGCCGTGGGCCTGGTGGTCCCGTGGGTGGAGAGGAGGTGTGCTCGTGTGCTCTGCAGCCGTCACGGCAGTGCGAAGGGGCAGGGGTACGGCTGCCTTGTGCCACCCTCAGACCACAGTGCAGGCTGGACGGGACAGCGTGTGGGGAGGCAGGACTCCTGGGAGAGCCCGGGCACGGGGGAAATAAGTATAACTCGCCCCGCGTTCTGCTCCAGGAGCACCAAGATGCCCGAGGTCCCTGCACAGGGCACACAGTCCCCGGCCCGGGCCCCCCAGACTTGCCGGGGCATCTTCTCTCCCTCCTCCGCACCTTGGTGCAGACCCAGCCCCCCTGCCGTCGCTGCCCCAGGCCATCTGCACACACAGCTACACCCTTACCAACCAAGAGGCCCGTAGGAAGATGATTTTTTTTAAAAGGCAGGAAAGCAAAAATCTAAGTGTGCTTTTGCTTGGAAAGTACCTTCTCTGTCCCTGGCAGTGGGTTTGTGGGTTTGTGTGGGGCCCGAGCCCAGGAAGGCTGCAGGCTTGCCGGCCAGCAGGACCTCCCTTTCTTGAAATCGGGAGGGGAATTCAGTAGCTGTTAGAGGTCCCTTCAGGGCTGCGCACGGCACGGCAATGAAGACAATCAGGACCTAGTGAATTGCATCCACAGAGATCTTCCTCCCTGTGCCTGATTTTGTCGATAAGCGCATGAGAGTTTTGCCCAGAGCAGAGCCCGGGCTTGCAGAGGTGCAGGCTTCATGCAGCGGAGGCTTGAGCACCTTGGCTACACTGCTCTTTTTCCGAGTGACCCAGAACTGGGTGCTGTCACTCCCTCAATCAAAGGGGACTGTGGATGTTGCGCAGCTCAGCGATGGGCTCCGTACAATGTTCCGCAAAACTCACGGTGTGTCTCCACACGGTGAGTGGAGCATTCGGCCCAGCTGGGACTGTTAGCCTAGCTGATGGCTCTAAAACAGGGAGGAGAGCAGAGGAGGAAGCGTCCGTCTGTCTCCTGGATGCAGACACAGACCCAGCAGCACTTTCAGCTCTGCCCCCCACCCCGCCCTGAGGGTGCCCGGCCGCCAGGCAAGCCCCCTCCCCCTCCTCCTCCCAGGCCCCTGCAGAGACGCGCTCCTTCCCTTTAGACTGCGGGGAGAGCAATCTGATTACTCGCAGCCAAGGGCGATTTTACCCCTGAGGGCACATTTGGCAATGTCCGGAGGGGCTTTTGGTTGTCCCAAGCGGGGGTGTACTGCAGGGACGCTCTGCTCTAAGCACCCAGGGCAGCGCGGGGCAGCCCACGACAAAGAATTATCTGACCAGATGTGAGTGGCGCCAAGGCCGAGGAGCCCACCCCACCCAGGTGCACAGCGCCGCCCTGGCCGGAGGCGCTGGCTGGCAGGAGGGGACAATGCTGCCACGTCCGCAGAGTGGAGAGAGTGCTGCCCAGCGGCACGGGCGGGGGCTGGTCTGGAACTCTGCCTTGGGAACAGTCTCCCTGGTGATCTCTGCCCTTCTCTGTGATCCTGTCATTCAGTGGACACCCAGCAGGAGCAGGCATGGAGCAAGGTAGGGCGCAGGCAGTGGCCGTGCTTGGTCCCCGCCATCAGCAGCACCTGCAGACTCACCTGGCTAAGGCCCAGGCCCCACTGCCATCCTCTCCATCTTCCTGGGGAGGCACAGGGTCTCGCTGGCTATCTGTGCGTGGCAGGCAAGGGAGGCTCGGGGAGTTCCCACTTGGAGAGGGTACCTGCGTCTCCTCTGCCCCAGTGCCTGGCCTGGTCCTGGCCCTGGCCCATGTGCACCTGGTGTGGGCCGTTCCAAGTTGCCCTTGCAGATTGCCCTCCTTTGCCATCCCATGGTGACCGACCATCTGTGCCAAGCAGTCTCCTCCTCGACGGGGTCAGAGGGGCAGGACCCAGTGCGGCCGGCTGGTGGGGACATCCCTGCCCCCGCTGATAAGGCCCCGGCTGGCACCAGCCTCCCAGGTTCTGCCCGTTGCCGAGTGGTCTGTGCTGGGCAAGGTGAGGGTGAGCGTGTGTCTACACTTGCTGCTGTCACCGGCTCCCCGTGAGCCCCTGCAGCGCCTCTGGTTTAGTTAGCACAGAAGCCCCAGCGATTCTCCCCCGGCACCGCGGGTCCCTGGGAGCTGAGTGGCAGGTGGCCTCGAGCCCTGCTGGTCCGCAGCTGTGGGTGTGGGGCCCCCTCTTGTCTGGGCCCCTCTGTGCAGACTCTGAGGGCTCCGTGAGTGAGTCAGTGACAGCTGTGTTTATCCTCAGCTGGTGGGAGAAGGGCCGGGCATCTAACCTATCAACCTCCAGGTGATTTGGTTTAACACTGTTGATTAAATTTACTGTTGTATCTTTCTGCTGGAAGACTTGATAGTCAAGATGGAGAAATAATATTAGGGAAATGTTAATGCCAGGACGCTAGTTAGGTTTTATCTTTGAGGAGGAGGCTGAGCACACAGATGCTGGGATTTGGTTGAGGAAACTTTCCTTCCCTAGCGTGAGCTGCCCCTCTCCCCAGCAGTGCAGTGGGCTTTCCACTTCGACCACGAGGAAAAACCAGACGAGGCGGATAAAATAGGACCTCGGGAGCTCTGGGCATCCTTGGTTCTTGGGGAGCGTCCTCCTCTGCGAAATGGTGGCCGGGCCAGGGCTGCCTACTGTCCTTCCCGTGGAAGCGCCTGGCACAGCCCGATTCCTGGGACTTGCTCTCGTGCGGTCACAGGGAGGGTCGCAGTGCCGCCACCCCACCAGCACCCGCCGCTCCCGCCAGCACCTTCCTCCTCGGTCCCTCTGCTTTCTGTCTGCCACTATGTGTCTCCCGAAGCCAGTGAGGCTTCGTCACCATGTAGCGTCTGGAGATACCGCGTGTTCCAGAGGAGCCCAGGGGTGGGATGATACTGGCCCTGGATTTGTCGGAAGCAGCCTTTTCTGGATGAAAATGAAAAATAGCAACTCAGGCTTAAGTTAAATTACTGGAAAAGTAAATGCTTAAATAATGGCGGATAGCAGCAGGTGGATTTGTGACATAAATCCTTGTGTGTTTTTCTGAGGTAGCCTCATCTTGTTGTTTAGAGTCTGGTTTATGTGATTTCAGAGCTTTGCAACTGTCTAGATTTCTTTTCATTATCTGAGACCACCAAAGTAATATTAACAGGAAAACAGTAAAGGGGCATATTCCAGACACAGCCCTAAGGGCTGCTTGCGGGTGTTGCTGGGGGAGCCCGGGGTCGCCTTTCTGATGGCAGCGCGGCCTGGCGGGTCCAGCCTGGCCCGTGTGGACAGCCCGGGGCAGAGGACGGCACGTGCAGAGGGACGGGGAGGACCTTTCCTGAAATTGTGGATATTCAGCCATTTTCAACCTATCAAAACAGCAATTTCAATTAAAAAGTTAACAAAAGGAATCACATCAGGTATCCCTTCATTACCAGCTGCTACCGGGATTAAATCAGTTGTGAGGATCCAGCTGCCCGGGCCTCCCGGGAGATGTCCTCCAGCACAGCGCCGGGGGAGCGGCGACGGGCTCTGCAGGCCGTGGGGAGGGGACGAGGACTCCGTGGTCGTCAGCTCTCTTGGCACAGAGACGTGCGCTCCTCGGCCCGCGTGCCCTGGCGTGGGGCGGGTCCAACCCGAAAGACCGTCTCTGAAGACGCTGCAGACTTGGCCCGGAGCGTGGCGGTGCGCGTGGTTTGCCCCAGAGGGTGTTCTGACAAAGCTCGATCCATCTTTTAAAAATTGGGAGATTTCACATAAAAATTGGAATTTCCATCTTCTCTGGAAAAGGCAGCATTTGGGGCCACGCGCTAAGGCTGGGGCCGCGAGGCAGCCACCCCTGGAGCCAGACCCGTGCCCCCTTTGGCTGCCGTCCCATCTCCCTCCGTGGCCCCTTGACACCGGGGCCGTGTCGTTGTCACTTATTGGTTTGCACAGTGGTGCTTGTTTTCTAGAAAAAATATTCTACACCTAGGCCTTTACCACAGGCTGAAAACAAAGACAGACCAAGAAGGCCACTGGTTTCCAGAAAA